ATCTAGGGCCTCATCCACGTGCCCTCACTCCTGGTCATCTACTGCCACATAATGAGTCACCCTCAAAACTTAAAATGATGACAGTGGCCATTTTATTATGTCTCAAGTTTCTGGGGGTCAGTTTGGGGACCAGCTCTGCTGGGCAGTCCTGGCTCAGGCTCTGCCATGTGGTTGTCGTCAGATGATGGCTGTGGCAGCTGGGGTCGTCCAGGCAGTTCTCTTCATTCTAATTCAGGGCCTCTTCACGTGGTCTCTGCAAAGGCTGGTTTGGACTTTCTCACAGCATGGTGGTCTCCGGGCAGGCAGACACTTGCCTAATGGCTAGTTTTCAAGAGTAAGTATACTAGCGAACAAAACAGAAGCTGCATCACCTTTTATGGCTCAGGCTTGGATGTTCCCTAGAGTCGCTTCTATCCTACTCTATTAGTCAATAGCCACAAGCCCACCGAGAGGGTAAATTTGGACACAGATGCACAGGGATAACATAATATGAAGATGAAGACAGAAATCAGAGTGATGCAGAAGCCAAGGAATGCCAGAGATTGCCAGCAAACCACCAGGAGCTGGGAGAGAGGCCTGGACCGGATTCTCCCTCACAGCCCTCAGAAGGAATTCACACCTTGATTTTGGACATCTAGTCTCCAGAACTGAGGCAACACATTTCTGTTGTTGAAGCCACACCATTTGTGATACTTTGTTACACAGCAGCCCTAGCAAACTAATACAAATGATGTTGTCCCTTCTCCACCCCACCCTCCCTTCCTCTCATCTCTCATTTCTGGGTGGATGAACGTAGGCATAAGCTTTGCCCATAGTGAGGAAGCTGCCAGATGGCCTCACAACTTAATTCAGTTAAAATTAAATTTCTCATTTCCTCCAGAAGTTCTATGAAATGTGATTTGTTATGTATTTCAGGCATAAGGAAAAGGAGATAATTTTTGATAGGAAGACCCCTCTAATGCCTCTGAAATGATACCAAAAAGTTGCTTTCATCTACCTTCTTTGAGACCCTTCTACCCAAGAATGTCTTGTCACTCTAGAGATTACAGAGTTAACACTTCGTTCTTCTTAAGAAACTCAATTTAGCCTAACTGTATCAGGATTGGCACTTGATAATTCTGATACGATCATTTGCATGATTTTTTTAGTGCCATAATTGTAGAAAACTGATATTAGAGTATTGAAATTGGTATGTCTTATTCAGAAATGTTTAATGCTTTATAATAACAATAATATTGGGTACATTATGCAGTAATAATGGAAATTACATTTGCAAAATAGTGGTAACAGAACATTTTGAAATGCTAAAAGTAGAAAAAGCACAGTGTAAGAGAGAACCATGTTTTAATCACAGCAGTTTGGCTATCTGTGTTCCTCAGCGCCACACCATGCCTGGGCTGCATGAGTTAGATCAACCTGTGCAGCTCTGACCGAAGTGGAGAATTTTCAGTCGCTGAAATAAAAAAGGGGTAGGGATGTTGTCCTATTTGAATATACTTTTTGCTATTTAGAATGGGTTAGCATTTTGTAAATAAAAATTGGATTTCCAAAGGAAGCATATATTTGCTATGATTTAGCCTAATAATTTGGCTGTTTTCCAGTTGCTCCTAACTTCTGATTAACAGCTGATTTTAAAAATATTTGGAAAAATATGTAAAGTATATTCCTCTATACTTCAAAATTATAGTCTTTAGGTCAATTTTAGGTTGATTAGCTTTACCCTATCCCTTTAATGCTTTGATCATTCAACATATGCAAGCTCACAGAAAGATTTAGTAAAAAATAAATCTATAAGGAACCTAAGAAATTCCTGACTATGTGAATCAGCACAATAAATGTTGATTTGGGGTTTTGGATATTTTCAGTACCAATTAGAAAATGTGAAGTTTTGATTGACTATTTCTTTTTTTAAAAAAATAATTTTTTAAACAGGTTTTTATTGATTTCAGAGAGAGGACAGGAGAGGGAGAGAGAGATAGAAATATCAATGATGAGAGAGAATAATTGATTGGCCACCTTCTGTACATCCCCTACTGGGGACTGAGCCCAAAATCTGAACATGTGCCCTGACGAATTGAACCCGTTACCTCCTGGTTCATGGGTTGACTGATGCTCAACCACTGAGCCATGCAGGCTGGGCTGATTAACTATTTCTTTTGGCAGGTTAATTACCCTAATTCAGGAATATTTTTCATAAGACTTAAAAAATTAAAGCAAAGGAAGTGCCAGGGCCTCAGAGATGAAAAAAATGTGAGTTAACTCTATTGTGTCCAATTGACAAGAATTATTTTAGCCTTGTGTATGCACTTGGAATCTGCTTTTACTCTGTTCCTTTCAGAAAAGTTGTTTTTTGCTTGTTTGTTTGTTTTAAGTTTTTCTCTTTGATTTTGGAACCATTGAACCAACCAGCTGGTTTATAGATACCTAGCCTTCTCTAAGACTTCTTGGTAATTTTAGGGTTGTTATCATCATCACTCTTTCCCCGATGAACTAGGAGGTGCTATCCAAGGCACAAGACTGAAAGCATCTCCTACAGGACCTCAGGATACCAGGCAAAGACCATTTTCTTGGAGCAATTATGTCTAAATTCTATGCATCTTCTCCATCCAACTCTGAAATCCCACAAGAAATGTTATCACTGCACTGAGAGCCTCATGACTCAGCTACATCTGAGAAACTTATCAAACAGCCATGTGCTGAGAGAGGAGAGGCTGGGGCAGAATTGGTCTTGGTCTTTATCCATCCTTCTAAACAGGCAAAGATATTTTACTTTCATGGGCAGGATATGGGTGACTTCAGTTGGCACTTCCTGAAGAGCTGATGAGGGTTGTGCTGTCACCTCTTGGGAAGCCAGCCTTTGCTCTACTACAGCGATTCCCTCCATCCTCCTTATTCTAGTCTGTGTCTGAATGCTGTCACCTTCCCCGGTGTGGTCTCATAATCGCTTCCACTTCTCCATTCCTTGGCAACAGAAAGGCATCTTTACCAAATCCTTGTCTGCTGATTGGGCTGTTCTACTGAGATTATAGATGTAGAAAGTAATTGTTTAAGATGGAAAGTGCTCTGCAAATGTAAAATGGTGATGTTGATAACAATACGCCTACTCATTGTCCCTTGTTTGCTCTCCAATAACACCTTGTTTTCCAAACTAAAGCCTTTTAAGGACTCCAAGTTACTGTTTCTCCTTTTGCAGTTGTGGAGAGTCAGCGTCGTGTAATGGTTAAGAACATGGGCCAGTAGACACATTCGGTTCAAAGGTCCCTCTGCGTCTCCAGCTGTGTGACGGGCTGGGCTATTGTGAGTCTGTTTTCCTAAACTCTGAATAGAAGTACTAGGAGAGTCATCCTTGCAGAATTGTTGAGAGGAGTAAATGGATATTGTAAGATGAAGCAGTTAGCATAGTGCCAGGTTCATATTCGCTCTCAGTAAGTAATTAGCTTTCATTGCTTTCTGGGTGTATTTGGGGTTCCGTTATTCTAATGGATTTTGTGCAAAGCCAGCAAAAAGGATCTGATTCTCATAACAATTAATTGTAAAATCTCTCCCATCTTACTCCCCCCCCCCC